GAGTATTATTTTTACTTTATCTTATTTGCTCATTGCTTAGCAGTGATTTATTTTAATTTTAGATTTTTGCTCATACCCTCAAATTACTCGGTGACAATATGTATGTACATATGTATGTATGTATTTTTGCTGTCCTTCGGAGCACGTGCGAATGTGTGGGTGTGAGTGCGACGCAAGCTTGCATACGAATATGCCACTGTGTAAGATATGATACTCGGTAACTGAAAGTCATTGAGCCATGCAAACTTCGTTAAGCCGCACAACAATCGGGAGTTGAAGTTGCTAATCATCGCCGCACGGCCCAACAAAATTTGGCTGAGAATGAATTGGGCTGAAGTTGCAGCAGTTGTAGGCAGGTTACACACGCGCACAAATTAATGAGGTGAACAAATAAAAACGCGTCACCATAACGAAATTGACACCAACAGAAGAATGCTACCAACATGTTTATTGTCGCACAGTGGGCGATGCCCGTATAAACTGCGACAAAAAGTATTAAACTTGCTTCGATATCGCTGAAATTTGATGCACTTGGCATGCTAGGTACACTTTTTGGGGTTAAATTACTGACCGTCTCAATTTCAAGTCCGCTTCTTCTGGGTGAAGTTACCCTTAATGTTCCCTCTCTTGTATCAAGTCACTTTTATCCCCTATTTTTAAAAACTTGCAAAACATGTTTTGAATTACACGAGTCACTCTGTTGCTTATGCCAGGATTTTAACTCTCATCCAAGCACATTTGATATATCTGATTCATTTTTCAGCATTAAGAAAGCGATACTATCCTCTCTCAATAGTTAAATGATTGACTAACATAAATACATAATAATCAGCTGTTGAATTTGGTTCTGTAGCTGAATAATTTTAGCGCATGAAACAATGGTCCTAATGCGAACGAAGTGTCCGGGATGCATTGTCCCGCGAAACAATGAGACCAAATGGCCGACGAGATCTTGCGAGATCTTGGGGCTATGAGAAAAGTATGGTTTATGCTAATAAGGCTGAAGAGCGAACGTTATAAATGATATACAAACCGAACTATGCAAAAAAGTCATGGTAGCTAGAGGAGGTGCGGTGACCATTTAACATATATTGCGTTTTATTTATAAAAGAAAATCGGCGATCTTATTGAATCAACCTACACTACTGAATTTGGCATTAAAGATGAAAACAAATCTCATAAAAATCGACCCTTCAATTACCCGTGTTGAGTCCCGTGAATTGCCCGTTCGAATTTTCATGTTAAAATACGATTCATACAACACCAATATCCGGCGCCGTTTTGAATAGTACTCGTTCCATTTTGTCGAAAAAGAAACCTCAAATCACTTTAATAAGCATATTTAGCATCTAATCTAATCACTTAGTTGGCTATTTTGAGACATTTCGAAACTCGGACTTTCGGCCACTCCCAGACCACTGTGCGTCGGTGTATTAACGGAGACACTAGACGGTGAAATGAGGAGAGAGTACATATGTACATATGTAGATACAGTACATATGTACATGTGCACGTAATACATAGGTATGTACATTTAAAGCGAGCGCCGCGTTGGAGAATGTTGACAATGTAAATTTGCACGGCTGCTGCGTCTGTCATTTCATTTTATTTAATTTTTGTTTGTTTGTTGCTCATTTCTGGTTTTGGGTAGTAACATTTTTTATTATATATATATTTTTTCAAGAGCGCAATTAAATTTGGCTTGAAAGTGGTTGCTTTTTGCCAACATTCAAGCGAAAAGATAAACAAACAAATATGTTTAAAGGTAAACATTGGGGATGTTAAACCCGGGATCCCGGCCTTTTTCAGGACCGATTTTCAGGATTTGAATTTGCCTGATGGCCATAATAGAAACTACTTTTCTTAACCAGCGTTGGCTAAATTATTATATTTTTATTTAATAATTAATATTTTTTATTAATGTCTAGCTCATTATAAATATAACACCGTGTGATAGTAATTATTAGACACAAAAATAATATATTCGCGAAATCTTGGGTCAATATAGTAAAATTGCGTTTTTAGTTTTTCACTCTGACGTCAGTAATTCAAAAATGATTTAAAAAATTCAGTGAAATGTGCTTAGAGAAGAAGTATGGGTATCAAATTGAAGAGGAATTCCTGTAGAATTCAAGCTTTTGGTGCATAAGGACTGGTAAGTATTGAAAATGTCCTTTTAAAATTTTATCCTAAAAATTTCGCAATATTTTATTTTTTTTTTAATTTTATCTTAAGGACTTATATAAACTTGATAACATCCTCGAATTTCGTTATCAGCTTAAAAAATTATCTACTCGCCCTTGTGAATCCAAAAAATTTCATTTTTTTTTAATTCTAAAAAAATTTCCTGTTGCATATTTTTATTCTGCATACATTGCATTGAATTTTTTAAATAATTTTTGGAATTTGAAATTTCAGTCCTTTAAAATAAATCTTAACCTCAGAGAGAAAAAGTACAAAACGCCACTTAAAAAAAAGTACAAAACGCCACTTTAAAAAAAAGTAGGTTTCAAACCCATTTATTTATCATTTATTTTATGGTAGGAGAGCGTCTCAAATAATATAGAAGCACTTTTTTCGATTTCAGTTGTTAAAAAGTAATGAATATCTAAATCCCAGGACTAATACCGGGATCCCGGAAATGTGATAACGACATCCCGAAAATTCCGGGATCCTAAAAATTAACATCCCTAGTATACATACATATATATAATATGACAGAGAAGACATAAAGAGTGGCGAAGCAACAAATATTTAAAAATAAATAACAAAGACAGACGACAATGTTCATATTTTTTGGCCTGGTTTACGAAAATTATATTATCAACAAAATAAACACATACATATATATTTCGTATATACACATACTTAAATACATATGTACATACGTTCAAGTCGTCGTCATTAATGTAAATGGCTTTAAATATAAAATTTCTTAAAAAGCAGTAAATGTGCTATGTTTAACACCTTTGGTGTGGCCAACGCTTGGAATAGTAAAAAACGTACGCTCACTCCATTATATCTGCGTGCACCCTTGCTTTTTAAATATTCACAATGTTTGGAAAGCTATAATTTTTTTTGTTATTTTTCTACAAAAATATGATTCGTGCTATAAACAAAAACATAATAAAAATCAAAGTTTTAAACTGTATACAACATTAAGGAAAATTTAATGAATTTTCATAAAAAATCGGAGTAAAAAGTGTAAAATTTTGATGAGAATTCGTTAAATTTTTCTTACAGTTGAAACTTTGATTTATATGGTTTTGCTCATGATAAAAATATAGTAAGGTAGAACCGCTGAGAGTCACTTTTAAAATTCTTGACGTTTCCAAACAATTTAATTTTTAAATTTACTCACAAACTCACACACACATTTTCATTTTCAATCTCAAGCAACAACAATTTCGAACAATTTCAATTTTTTATTTTCAATTTTATATGATTTTAAAATGTTGGCAAACTTCAAAAAAAAATCATGGCCGACAAATTGAGAGAACGGTTATACCTTGCTATGTTTTTATCATGGTTTTGCTTATAGCATGAACCTTATTTTTGTACAAAATCCTGTAAGATCCTGTGCGGTTCCACCTCTGATCTCCTTAAGCGAGGCGTCTCTTACAGCCATCCACTAGTTGAGAGAGGTGGAAGAGAGTGCCTCAATGGCTATCCGAGAAGATATTCACCTGAGTTCCCGCGGGTACATTCTCTTACTGCCTAATTAATTGCAAACGTTTTGACCTGGAAAACGCTTGCATAGTCTGGTAGGCGAAAGGATAACTTTAGGTTATATTGCTCAATGAAAACCCCCGCACCAACTCCGCATTCACCCGTAAAGACAGTTAAGCTCTGCATGAGCTCGGCCTTTCTTTGTTCCGGCCACTGCGGGTTGGAAATTTCGTGTGGGGTTTGTGGTGAACCCAGATCTTCGACAGGATATAGTCAGTGAGCAGGGATTTAATTTCAGGCGGTTGAGCGTCTAGGGTGGAGCTTTCCTTCGAACGGCCCAACCCAAGGCACGCTGCCTGATGGCACTGTTTGCAGCTGNTAAGAAGGACGTTCTTAACAGCATTCGGCCAGGATCTCATTGTGCCAGGGGCTGTTGACCTTTGAATTTCGTTTAGCTTTTTAACTGCGTATTCCTTAGTAAGGGCTGGCCACCAGACCAGCGCCTCATGGTTTCAAACCCCATCTCTTGCCTTACATTCTGTTGGCTGCATAGAGAGCCACAGTGGCATGCCTTGTACGCTCTTCAATGTTAGCTTCTAGTTAAATTTGGGATCCAGAATAAATCCAACGCATTTCATGTTGTTAGACAGATCCAGTTCTGTTCCTCGTAACTTTGGTTTAGTAAAATTAAGAAATTTTGTTTAATTTATGAAAAGCAAAAGGTCAGTTTTCTCAGGGGTTGCGCTAAGACCCAGGAATCTATCGTCTTTAGAGCCCTTTCCATAATTTTACTTATGACCGAGGGAACTGACCCGATACCAGTATTGCTACTTCGCCGGCGTAAGCCACCGCCCTGGTTGCTTGAGATTCTAGCTTTACCAATCGTTTGTTCCAGACCACTCTCACTCTCACTGCATATGTATATCGAAAATTTCAATACCTTAGGTAGAAGAGTAGAGCTGTGTTGATAAAAACTCAGTGCTTCTAATGTTCTTATCGTACCTGTTATATTTCCCAGGTACTGTATTTGATAAGAAATGATTGTTTTGAAATAAAATTCAAATATTTTATAACGGCGCATTTCTTTTCACATATTTAGGTGGCATTTTCAATGCAAAACAAAAATAAACCCAAGTAAGTAAACAAGAGATCAAATTAGCTGAGTACAAATATAGAATCCGTACCCACCGGATCCACACACCTATTCATTTCCTTTTGACTTACATACAAATACATATGTACATATATAAAAACAAATATATGCATATACATATTTACTTATGTAAATACATACATATATATAATCCACATATCTTATTTTTATGACTCACCTATATTCTCATAAATGTCATCGCTGACATCCCATCGATCAATGATGCCCAGACATTGTTGCAACCTTGCGAATGTCGCTGTTTGTGGTCGATGTGAACACCATTCCCGCAACACGGTGCGCATCGGATCATCATTGTTGCTGCTGCAAAAGCTGCGTACCTCAGCCAACTCGGCAACGCCACGCCAATCGCGTTCGTAACCATCTTCTGAACGCAAAATTTTACGACAATTTAGTAGCTGCGACAATTGTAGGCGTGTATTGGCGCTCAACTCCTGAAGTGGCGTTTCCACGAAAAGGCCAATATCGGCACTGTTTACTTCCGCCGCCGGTGAGTCCATTGACGCCGATACGCTGGCATTGTAGGTGGAGGAGGTGGTTGAGGATGCAGAACCGGGTGTGCTAATGCCGGCCGAAGATATGGACGGCATGCGTGTGTTAATATTTGGTATTGAAATGGCCAAACGTTGTTGTTGCACCATATTTGAGCTGTTTGATTTTTTATTGTTACTGGTGTTTGTTTCTTTTTTATTGGTTGGTAATTAATAACTTAATATATTTCTTTTGTTTAATTGATTATTTTTATTATAAATAAATGTTTGGTTTTCTTTTTTTTTTTGGTAGGTTATTACTGTTTGTAGAATCTTGCACGCGAGTTTATTGGCTTGAAGCGTTCAACGAACGCTCACGACCGCGTCAACACGCAGACAAACGCACACACTTGCACCTTCTTCTTATTATAAGCGGTGACACGAATGTTTGCATGTAAAATAACTGAAATGAAGTGAAAGAAAGAATAAAGAAAAGAGGAAATAAGTATATGTATGTATGTGTATATATGTAGGTATATATGCATGTGCTAATAAAATTATTATTTANGCCGTTTTCTGAAGTAACCTTTAGCTTTAAAGCTCACGTTATATTTAAAGGCTACATTAAAATTTATGATTGTGTCTAAAGTAAATAATTTTATTGTCGGTTTTAAATTGATTTACAACCAAGAAACAGACATACGTCAAAAACCGATAATAGAAATGCTTAACATTAGACATAGCTTTATTTTTAATCCAACCTTTAGATATAAAGTGAGCTTTAAATTTAAAGGTTACTTCAGAAAATGGCCCTTAGTCATTGAAATGAGTTCACACCGACAAATTTTGATTTTTTGCGCTATTAGCGTGGACGAGAATGCATGAATACTCAGAACAATACGACTGTATGGGTATACATTAGGGTGGTCCAAAAATGCATGTGGGGGGAAAAAGTAAAGTCGGAATGTTTACGCTCTCACCCCCTAGGATTGTTCTATACCGAAATAAATATATCCCAATTTTTTTATTTTTCAACTTTTCGTAGAAATGGTATAGAATTCTTAAGAATCAATATTTTTCTATCGGAAAACTCTGTTTATCTGCAGAAGATTCCCAATAATAATACCCAATTGTTTATTTAACCATTTTTTCATCGCAACTATGATTTATAGGTCCACCAAAAACCCACAAAAACCTCGAAAAATGCAATTGGCGGACCAAGAAAAAATCGTTAGTATTAAAAAATGGTTGAATAAACAATTGGGTATTATTATTGAAAGTCTCCTGAAGAGAACCAGAGTTTTCCGATCGCAAAATTTTGTTTTCTAAAATTCTATACCATTTCTACGAAAAGTTGTTTTTTTCCCATATAAAAATACATGGAAAACTTTGAGAGCTTTGAGCGACCTCTAAATATTTTTTGATTTCAAAATAAAAAATAGGGGTATACTTTTTTTCTTTATAGAACAATCCTAAGGGGTGAGAGCATTACAATTCTGACTTTACTGTTTTTGGACCACCCTAGTATACATACTATATATGTACATATATGTATAAATGCAGTTCCAATGCAACAGTTACTACTTGCACTAAATCTAGAATAGCACAGGGGTGGCTCAATCGGAGTGTACATAGTAATGGCTAATAGGGACGACCGACATTATAAAAAACCTTAAACTGGATTATGCGGGATAGAATTACGCACCTCTAACCTCTTGGCAACAGTACGTGTTAATACTTAAAGAATACAATAACTTGAGTGCTCGGGAGAAACATTCGGCGGACGTGGTGTTGTATGGTCCGGAAACATCTAAATAAGAAAAAGTATTTTTCTAACAGCGGTCGTCTATCGACAGGAAAGCTTCCCATAAAGCCCACTGGGACAATGAGAAGACGCTCCCAATGTTATTACAAACCGATTTCCTATAGACCTCCAAATAATGCACACTACATCGGCTATAAGACTCAGAGAACTGGGTATATGGTAAGAAAGAACGATCGGGCACCGCAGTATAATTTCTCGATCGCCACCCAAGATGAGACTGGCTACCGATTACATACGATTTGAAGTAGAGTTTCACAGGCTTTTCGGGGTCATTCTTCCATCGAGAACTGACTGGGTCGGGCAATTTGATATCTCTATCTGGATACATCAACAGAAGTATTCACTATAGCGGAAGGCTGCCGTCTCTTAGAACGTAGTGGTTTACGTCACGGCGAGCGCGTAGCCATTTTCTTAGATAGCCAGGCGGCCACTAAGGCCTTAGCGTCTTTTAAAACAAGGTCGCAACTAATCAAAAAGCATAAGACACTTTTAAATTCAGTAAATAGTCAGCTCAATCTAGATTTATTTTGGGTCCCTGGTCATTGCAACATTCTCGGAAACGAGGGTGCAGACGAGAACGGTTTGCCGTAGTCCCTGTGTATTGTGGTAGCAGGCCCTCAAATCAAGCAGTCGGATAGTTATCTCAGACCTTTTGAATTTTAAGGCTAATACGTTTCCATGTCTTGTATTTTTCGAAACGCTAAATGATTCTCTTTCACTTGGCTAGTAAAACAAACCCCTTCCTCTGCGCCAACTCTGTTTTTTGTAAAATATCACGAATTGTTTTTTTAGGAAAAAATATTTCATGGACACTTGTCGGTATTATCTTCCAGTTAGCAGATAATAGCAAATCGGAGTAGAAACAATCTAGAATTTGATTTGTTTTTAGCCCTGTGTGTGACGTGCTGCACGTATCTTAGATCTGTGCCAATTTCACTTGTCTAGAGATAATAATGGAAATCAAATGACTATTAAAGACTCTAAATTTAACTGCTTGTATGAGTATACATTAATTAGTTCATAAATATTTGCGTTTATTGCACACTTTTAAAGAAATCAAATAGTTTATGAACAACAAATGTTTATCAGTGCAATTGTAGCTTCGGACTATGTACCAAAATTAATCATTATTGTTTTTATGTGTCATGAAATAGTCGTGTATTAATTATATTAACAATGGAACAATAAGTAAGCTGGAAAACTCTAGAATTTAAATATGCAAAAAAAAAGTATATAAAATGTGCAACAGAGCCCTAATCAGCGTAAGTATACTACACACGAGGGTAGGCTGAAAAGTTTTGAGCCTAGGTAATTTTAAGCGTCATTAAAGCATTGCCGGGTGTGCCATTATTGAATTGCTAATATTATTAGTAGTATAAATACTGGATTTCATGTCATTAACATTATTACGCTTTCAGTAATTGAGCCGAAAACATCGCCATATGTGAGACACCTGTCCATTGTACAGAGCTGTCATCAAATTCCTCACAAAAAAGAACAAAACGCCGAAGGGAATATTTGGAGAGATGTCTGCAGTGTATGGGGAGTCGGGCCTTCATTTGCGAGCATCAAACGTTGGTTCTGAAAATTCAAGCAAGGCAGTCCTG